CCCGTTTTTTTTTTTTTTTTTTTTTTGGGTCCGGACATTTGTGCACCCATGGTACCGGTCCGGACTGTCCGGGTGTCCGGTAATCACCGGACAGTCCGGACTGGTCCAGACACTGGTCCGGAAGACAGTCCGGAAGTGTCCGGTGTCCGGGTCCGGGGTTACCATGGTTTTCATAAAGAAGAAATCCAAAAGAGAATCAACAATCAACACCACCATTAGGAGTTTTCTTATCATCATTTCAACACAGTAGGGCTGCCTGGGACCTTGTATGATACGACCCCATCCGGAATAGTACCGGTAGTACCGGGACATACTCCCTCCGGGAAGCTCTCTGGTTCCAGCGTGGTCCGAAGGAGTGACTGATACCAGGAAGGATGACCCCCCGGGGAAGCTTCTGTTCCAGTGCACCTATGACAAGTAACCACCATAACTCGAAATCTGACCTGGGTTTATTGAAAAAAAAGAAAGGAAAGAAAAAAAACTTAAAAAAGGACTCTGGCAGGCAGCACGGTGCCTAGTACCTGCTGAACAGGGACCAAAGTTTTTTTTTTTGTTTTTGTGTCTTTTTTTACATCTGCCTGGCGTGCTAGTGGTGGTGGTGCAAACACTCACCAGTGTCACCACAAAAAAAAAAAAAAGAAAAAAAAAAAAAAAAGAAAAAAAAAAAAAGGAAAAAAAAAAACTCACCACTAGTAGGCCAGGGGATGCCACTGGCTCCAGTCTATTGGTGGGGAGCAGCACCTAGGTAGCACCTTCCTAAAGCAACATACTTTGAACAGGAATATACGGCAAGCAAATTTGAAGAAACTTCTTTGAACACTTCTGTTCCCGACGGCTAAAGGAGGAAGGCCAGTGCACATTGCGGGCGCAGAATGCCGCCAGGCTGCTAGAGTGCCAAGTCAAGCAGCGCTTGCAGGAAGGGCAGCACCTAGCATCTAGCCAGAAGCAGCCATAGGTGTGCGGAGGAAGAAGACCGTTGCCATAGCTATGGGGCGCTGAGATGTGGAGGAAAGGTGGCGATAGAAGGGGAGATCCTTCAAGGAAGGGGAAGACTGCTGAGGAGGAAAGGATTGGCAAGGGACTTACCTGACGGTGGCCACCAAGAAGAGCTCTGGAGTTACCTGGTGGTCACCAACAAAGGCTGCAGACTTGCCTGGCGGTTGCGACGAAGAACTCCGGACTCACCTGGTGCTCGGCGAGAAGAGCTCCAGCATGATACGTCGCTGAGAAGGCATTCAAGTTGGTGGGAGCAGCACAGTCCTCTGCAGCTCTGTACTATGGTGTGGTGTAGTCTGTAGGGTAGATGATAGAACAGCAATTTCGTCAAAACGGGTATTTTTTATTTTTTGAACGAAATTGAAACCGACTAAATTGGCCCAATTCAGGTCAAAACTTTTAGCTCGTGAGGGTCCGGCATTCTGAAAATGCTGGACCCCCTGGATGTATCTGGAATTAGCTGGTGTCCAGGGGGTCCGGCGTTTTAAGAACGCCGGGCCCTCAATTTCGTCAAAATTCAACCTGAATCTGGCCAATTTAGTCAGTTTGACAGTTTGACAAAATTGCTCTTATAGAGTGTGTGCTTGCGGCCGGCCAAGATCTCGTCACTACAGTGGCAGGTGGCCCACCGATGCCTTCCGACAAATGACTGGCTTCACACCAGGCTGGAGCAACAGGGATGGGCGCTTCCCTGGTTGGTGATTATTGTGATCATCACCTCCCGTGCTTGTTGGAAGCCGAAGAAGCACCTGTCTCTTTTGTGGGATGCATCATGAGCCTTGTGTACGAAAACAGATTTGCTGCAAATGCATCCCATTGTTGGAACTGAGGGGTGTGCTCGCCCAGGAGGATTAGAGGTAGGGAGATGCTGGCCTACCAACCGGTGCCATTGGGAGTCCTACTATTTCCACAGGTGAGCCACCATCGGGCAGGCCATGAGACAATGCTCCAGCATTGCTCTTGCTGGTGGTGTAGCCCTCCTGCAATACAAGCAGATTGAGGAGAGGATGCCTTGTTGCTCCAGGTTTGTGTGTGAGACGAGCTCAGCACAGATATCATGCTTGGGCAGGTGGGCTAGATATAACACTTTGGTAATCGCCTGGTGCAGGGTGTGTTTCCGAATAAGGCTGCGTTGTGGCGGCAATTCCGAATTCCAAGGATCCACGTCTAGGTGCTGCTCTGGAGTCGCTATCCGGTATGGCCGTAGTGGGAACGGCCGTCTTCTACCTTTATCTTGGAGTACCGCCATCGAATAGACTTCGTCATGCTGCAAATGGTGGCACCCTCCGGGCACCTGTTGGAGCGGCTCCGCCAAGGTTCCCGACCCGGTAGTTATTCGCCACAGCTGCCCTTCATATCCCTCCTGCCTGTTCCCTGCTCTGACCTGATACACCGTCATTGGTTCTGGCAGGCCTCGTCTTACAAGTTGAACCGATTCCCCTTTTACCCACTCGTCTGCCTTCAGCTGCTCCATCAAATCTGCTGGTATGGCTTCTCTGAGTGCGCCTAGCCTCTGCACCCTTGCAACCTGATGCGGTAGGCTGGTGATCACCGCGTCGTCCTCCTCCCATACCCTATCCCAAAGATGGCCAATTTGGTAGACCCCTTTATTCGACATTGTCTGCCCAAGGTCCCCCGGACCCCCTGCCAAGGCCAAGGTCGGCCATCTTCCATAAGTATGACGGAGGTTACGAGGTAGTGGCTGAGCCAGTGTCTAGTGTACCGTGGTAGGACCTACCGGTTGTAGATGGAGAGCCCACCATGCCGCAAGAGATGGGGTCCGCAGGGCCCCTTGCTTCAGGTTCCGGAGCAGTCCCCGATACATCAGGACTTTGAAACCAGTTGCTGGTCCACTCAAAGTGTGTCTACCAGTAGCGGCCTCGCCACCCTCGTCCAGTCCGCCTCGTCTTCCTCCATCAGCAAACGTAATACCAGGCGGGCCTGCAGTGCGCGTGCTTGATGGTGCCGGTCTATGATTCCCATTTCTCCCATGCACCGTGGCTGAACCAGCTTACCCACGCCACACGTCTGATTGTTATCTCAGCCTTAGCGTCCCCTACCATAAGAAATTGACGATGGCCCCCCTCAGAGGTCGGCACTGCACATGCTGCTCCCACGAATAGATCGAAGATTTGAAAAAAACAAGTGGACCCGCCGCAGTCACGCTGCGGCCGAGGAGAGGGACGAACAGGGGGGCTGGGCTGTTGTTGTCACACTGCTTGGGCATGTCGTGTCAAATCGGCTTGAGAACATGGAAATATACACTGTCACTTTCTTTCTTTTTTGTGTCGTCAGATTCGCTATACAATAAAAAAAACATGACTGTGGCAGACTCTTTCGTTGGACTTTCATTGACTGATCACTGATCAGGAGGTTGTGTGTGTGTGTGTGTGTGTGTGTGTGTGTGTGTGTGTGTGTGTGTGTGTGTGTGTGTGT